TTGGCGTGAGCTGGGCTTCCTGCTGGGCGGGTGTGGGTGGCCGGGGCGCTTCATCGGCTGGAGGTCCCTGCCCTGGCGCCAGGTTGGTCGGAGCCAGACTGGCTCTGGGCAGCTGTTTGTCCTGTAGCACCTCCGGGTGCCTTTGGGACAGCGGCGACCTGCTGGTGTCACTGACACCCATCTTGCCCTTGGTCCACGTGAAGTGTTTTGAGAGTCTTGCACAGCTCTGTTTTCTGGGGTTTATGGTATGGTCAGCCCCTAAAAGGGAGAATAACTTTACTGCCTAAAATACAGCATGTTTTGGAATACCTAATGCCTCTGTGGAGGTTCAGTGTGAGGACCTCCAAGTGCCTCTCCTTGGAAGGAGGCCTGCGTTCTTCAGGCTGTCTCCAGCTGGGACAGTGTAAGGTAGAAACACCTCAGATCAGCTGGTGGTGCTGAACTCCTGCGTTTTGGTTCTTCTCTCCAGCAAAACACCAGGTGTGTTGTCATTTGTGGGGGAAAACTAATGGCTCTTGTCACCTCTTGGCAAAACATGGGTTCTTGGGGAGAAGGATCCTTTCCGCAGGTTTCCTGGGAGCTGGTGGCAGCTGATCCACACAGCGATGCCGGGAGCGGTGCGGAACAGCTGGGTGCAGAGGTTTGCAGCGCTTGCTGCGGCGTTCCAGCCGTGTGGATCTTGGGCGCTCCAATAGCAGCTCCTCGAGGGGGAGGCAGCTCCCTAGGGCTCACGCGTCAGCCGAGGCTGATGCCGCCCGGCCGGGGCGAGGGGCACTCGGACCACCGCCCGTCGTGGGCAGGGAAGGAGCTGCTCGAAGCCACCCGTGTGCCCTTTTTTGCCGCGTGGGACGCGGGCGCCGCGCATGCTCGAGGCCAGCCCGGGAGCAGAAACCTGGAAATCGCAGCGCGTAGATACATAAAAGCGATTGCTGCCCTGTGTGCACGGGTGTGTGCTGACACAGGCGGTCAAGGGCCTTGTCCTTAAATGCATCTTGCCGCTCTGGGTTTTACAAGTGTTTTTATGTGCCTGTCACCCTGGAGTCCAGGTGTCCTGTATCAACAAGAACGGAGATAAAATTTGCTTTAATGGCAACAATTATGCTTAACTACTTGGAGCCAATCTGGCAGAAAGAACAAAGTGTTCAAACTGACAGTTTATAATGTGCTGTACTATTACATTAAGGCAATAAGGAAAGAGATGCCTTTTTGTGGGGAATAGAATTTTTTTTTTAAAAAAACATTGGTATTACAGCATGCACACACAAAAAAAGGAGATATTGATATCAATGTTAAAGGTAGTAGGTTGAGTTTAAACTAGGATGGTTACCCCTCTCCTCGTACCCAAAAAGTTTTTTGCCTGGCCACTTGCCTTAGCAAGTCCCTATCACCTGTATCTTGTTAAAGGGGAGTTTAGGTTGAGCTGGGTTGTAGCCGTCCATTCAGACACTGACACGTGTTGGGGGTTTCTCTTTTTTAATTCCTTTTAATGCTCTGTGAGCTACAATTCAAAGGTCCTGCACTTGTCTTTCCTTGTTTTACATGGGGGTATCTGAGTTAGGATGGTCTGGAAATTTTGGTCTTTTTCCCCCCCTAACCTGGTGGTAACCCAGTTGTCATGAAACCCATGAATAGTTGGGAGGGTTTTACACCTCTTTGGCATGAGGGGAGGGACGGCTTTTTGTTTGGCAGCCTGGCAGAAGAGTGCAAGGAGCTGCTCCCCTGCAGGCCTGCATCACTCTGCCCCAGCAAAGCGGCCGTGCGGCTTCCACTGCTACTGGAACGGGGAGCTTGGGGCAGGAGGGTTGGTTTGTGCTGCGATATTTTATACTGCAGTAATCAGGTTGCCTTGGACTAGAGTCTTTTGACGCTTGCTTGAAGCCAGCAAAGGCACCATGAGCTTCCTGCATTGTCCAAATTCCTGGAATAAATCATTGTCTTCATTACCATCTCCTGCTAGGACTTTGCTCTTGTGTAGTATACAAGAAGGTTCTTTATTACCTAACCTTGAGTTGTCTTTTTAAAAGCAGCTTTTTGTTTTTTTTGTCAAACACCGTGTACAGAGGCCTTGTTTTGCAGAGGTGCTCTCTGCCCTAAGGAGCCCCGATCCACGCGCTGCCCTCCCTCCTGGCCACGGCCGGTTGTCACCCGTGGGTGCAAGGGCTGGGTCCCGCAGCGCGGGTGCAGGGAGCTCCCCGTAGGAGGCATTTCAGCTCTTGGGTCTGTCCCAGCATCATGGTTAAACCCTTGCCCAGCGACCGTGGCCAAGGGCGCAGTGGCAGGTAACGTTTCCACCACTTCCCGTGCCGGGGTAGGAGTGCCAAGTAGCGCGGTGCGTACACAGGTGCTGCTCGAGAGCCTTCCTGGCTGTTCCGCAGCAGTAAGTGCCACAGGCTCCCCTCCTGCAAGCAGCGCTTCTGTCGGGAGCAGCTCGCTCTAGGAAACCCCGTTTTGCCCCTGCACAGAGCACAGGAGCCCCTCGTAATCTGCACCCAGCGGCACGAGGCGGCCAGGTCCCCTGCGGGAAGGGGCTGCCGAGACCTGCAGAGCTCACAAGCAGCCCTGGCAGGTGAGGGCAGCTGCTGGCAGAGCAGGGATCAGGGCGCTGCTGGGTGCCACCCCTGCTTCTCCCGCTCTACCTTCTCCCTCCTGGACATGCAGCACCTACCCAAGGGCCCTTCAGCTCGTGCTGGCCACGAGCAAGCTCTGTATTAACATGCTGCTGCCGGAGCTCCCCTCACCACACGAGGTTGTTCGCACTGGTCACGCGCCTGCCACCAGCGTTCGCTTCTTGCCGCGGTTACTTAGCAAATCCTCAACAGCAGCCACCCTGCTGTGAGCTGCTGCCTGACTCCTTCACTCCACAGTGGTGGTGGCAGTTTATGGGAAACCCAACACATGTCTGGCCTGTGCCATGCTCCGGCACACTGGAGATGCTAAATCTGCGTTCTGTTTTTGCCATAGGTGCAGTACTTTTTCAAGATTCTGGACAACTAGCAGCCTCCATCCGCACCCCCACCAAGGAAGCGGACACAGGAGTGTGTGTTCATTCATTTTTATTTGTCCAATGTTTCAACCTGACTGAAATACAAGATAAACAAGAGCACTGTACTCCTGGCTATTTTATTACATGTTAGAACATAGAGTTTTGCACTTTAGACAACATTTAACATCAGTTTATGGGGTCTGCATTGCTTTTATAAAGTTTAAAATAAAAGATTTATTTTCAAACATGTGACTTTGGTTTATTTCATACATTACACTTTCTTGCAGAAAAAATAAAATTGTACAACTGCATAAATATAAAATTCTTCCACCATGAAAATGGTTAAAACATTCAAAAAAGACATTAGCACCACAGTGTGCGATGCCTCCAGCAGGAAAAAAGAAAGAAAATATACAAAGCAAAGAGTTATGGCTATCACTGAGCAGAGTGATAGTCTGACCCAGGTCTCTCACGCAACATACTGGAGGATGAGGGGAAGGGGGGAAAGAGCGAGACAGCATTCGCTACGAGCACGGTACACAATCAGCTAGTTTCTTCAGCGTCACTTAAGTTAGTTTCCCCTGCCGCCCCTCCAAATAAAATACCCTAACACCACAGAAAAGTCAGAAGCCTTATGGAGTGCTGTTTATAAATAGAGTCTCACGGGTGGGCCTTTCTTTTAAAATGCAAAAAAAAAAAAAAAATTAATTAAAAGTAACATGCCAGTTCTAGTCCCATTGAGTATTTACACCTTGGACAGCAGAAGTCTTTGCTCACAAGAAGTAGAAAACAGATACATTACATGGCTTGAAAAATGACCAGAGTATGCACCTATAGTACTGTACACTAAATAAAATACACAAGGCAGCAATACTTAGGGGCCAGAAACACTGCTTACTACAAGTCAGTTATGGAATCATAATTTACAGTAAAAATGGGCATGTCCCAAGGCTCAATTTTGTTTTTGTCATTTACAGTAGAATAAATATTTGTCGCTATTGCTACACTTTGTTTACATTCTAACCTAGTAAATGCAGAAAGCTAGTGTAAAGCATATAGATTACGTGTAGGTCCCATACGTATGACAGTTTGTTCAAGACTAGTAGGTTTACTTCTTTGTTCTTTTAAACCTTTTTAAAGGGCTAGGGGGTAGGGGTCGGGGGCGGGGGGGTAAAGGGTTGTGCTTACAATCAGCTGCTTTTGATGTCGAATTTAATATCAAAGCGTCCCTGGAAGCGGTCTTTGTCACTGTACTGGATGTTCTGCCCGTAGGCCTTGCACTCCACGCGCACCTCCATGTCGTAGGTCAGGTTGGTGAACTGCACGGCCACGAGCGGCTGCAGGTAGCGCGGCTGCAGCAGCTTCCCATAGTAGGGGTAGTACTGCAGGGCGAAGCCGGCGTAGCCACCCATGCCATAGTACTCCACCGTGCCCACGTTGTCTGTGTCTTCTTCTCTCTGCAGAGCAAGGGCAGATAGAGCCAACACTAAAGCACCTGCCTGCTCCTTCTGCAGGGGTCTGCCTAGCGCCCTCCTTGTCTGCGAGGACAGGCCCCTCTTTGGGCATCACCCATTGCTCTTGGCACGGCCAGGGGGATGGGACACCCACCTAGCGCCCGGCTACAGCAAGGTGCCTCCCGGCGCGTCTCACGCCCCACCTGCGCGTCTCGGCCCAACACGGCCCCTCGGAGGGTGCCGGTCCCTGCTCGCTCCCTCCTCCCCCTCTCTGTGAGGGCAGCACTGGCTGTCGTTATCGCTGGGGGGCTTTGCGAGCACCTGGCCTGTCACCTCTCCCTGCAGAGAGGGTACCCAGGGGGTCTGCAGAAAGGCGAAGGCTGGAAGCTCCCACACATCCCCATCCTCTCCATCCCTATGCTGGGCAGCAAGAACCTAGCAGAGCAGCAGCTCTGGGCTGCTCCCTGGTTCCATCACACACACACTGGATTTTTTCATCTGCTGACAGGTTATCACCTTGTAAACAACTTAGTATCAACAGGGATAGATTTAAGCTGATTTCCTTCCGTAACTGTCTGTTTTAAACATGCAGGGAAACATCTGTGCATCTCACCCTCAGGCTTTGAAACACGCTTCATCATTCTCAGAGGCTGGTAACTAACACTGGGTACAGATTCAGCCCCTCCTTCCCTGCGGGACCTCACTTACCTTGGGGCTGCAGTGCACAGGGATGAGGTAGGGGTTGAACTTCGCTGCCACCTCTGCAGGGAGAGTCTCGTTTGCCGGAGCCTAGAAGAGAGCCAAAACGCACGAGAACGTTGGCATTGCTTCCCTGTGGGCAGCAGCGGAGCCTTGCGCCCTTACCTGGCCTCCCTCCCAGCACTGCCTCAAGGGGCCGCAGCTGCTGGCGACGGCTCTTGGGAGGGCCGAGCAACTCAACCCAACAGAAGCAGTGGGATTTAACCTGGGTACAGCGTGGGGATTCGCAGCCTCGCTGCTGCGGGGAAGGCAGTGGCAGAACGAGACCCACCATCTGCTGCTGGCGGCGTGCAGCAGGATCCAGAGCAAGACCAGGAGTCGCGCCCTGGTGCCCCTCAACTCTGACATGCAAAAGCTCCAAGTAAGCTAAGGAAAGCTGGGGAAGTGCTTCCGTAGCTCTGCGTCACGTCCTAGCAAATCTTGGGATCTGCTCTGCACCTTGCCCAACGCGGCAGCTGTGGGGGTCTCTCCTGGAGCGCAGATGCGCACATCGTTCCCAGCTGGGATACTCCTGACTGCACCCGCTGCCTCAGCTGGTCTAGAGCTCCGTGGCGCACAGAGGAAGGCAGGCGGACACTCAGCCCAGCGCTTCCCACACCATCAAATGTGTCGCCCCACAGCTCCGTACCAACCACAGCGGATTTCTTTCAAAATACATCAGCTCTTACTGCCACTCAACAAGACAGAATTCAGGAGATTTCTCTTAGCACAAGGAAGTCTCCATTTGAAGGAGAAAGTTCTCCAACACACGCTATCTGGACAGTTCGTTTCCCCTCCTCGTGGCTACACAGATAGGGATAGGCATGAAGGGTGCTCAGCTCACCATTTGCATCATTTTCCATCTGAAAGATGCAGTGGGGTGTTTTGCACAAGGCCTTACTCAATAGCATGTATTCTGCCACTCAATTCTGAGAGAAACTTTCAGTACTTCAATGTGTTGGGGAAAAAAAAAATACAAGTAAAAGCAGTGTGTGTCCAGAACAAAGTCTTTTGACATTAGTGCAAATTTGCCACTAGGTGCAGCGCAGAGCACTGGGGTGACAGCCGGCACCCCGCGGTACATGATCTAACAATATCTCCACCTTTCTTTTTGTAAGATCTGCACTGGACTCTCAAGCTGCTTGCCGGTCTATCTTTATGCTTTACAGACTATGTATGAGTCCAATACCACTTAATATAGCAGTACTTCATTTAATTAAGTGCTTTCAGCAAGGCAGGCAGCTCTGTGCTGCCTGGGGAAAGAATGGAACAGATCGAAGCAGGGTACAATTTGCTTATCTTAGTACAGACACAGCAGGCCTCCTACATCACATGGCAGCATACACTATATCTATCTATAGATATAAATGTAGAATTTAGAGAAATGCCTTCTTAAAGCCATTCGGTTAGCAAGGTCAGCAAGGTAACCAGAGAGCTAACCAGGCACGGTGAGCATTCACTGCTAATTGTTATCAATTAGCAGCATGCAGTTTCCATAGCTTTTTAATGAAAAGTCTTTGCAAAGCCTATTGAAGTTTCTCTTCTGCACAACATGTTTAATAGGAATCTTTCTCTAGCAACAGGAAAGCAGGTGCTAACTGAATAGCTTTTCCAGAGCCAGAGCAAGTCTGCAGCCAACTCCTCCTCCTTATCAGCAGTTTCTATTAGAAAAGGAAGAAATACTTGCCTTAGGTTTGAAGCCAATAATTCTGTTAAGCTTGACTAGAATGCAGGGTTTGCCATCCTTGTAGCCAAAGGTTGGGTCATTTATCCCAGAGCAGTTTTCCAGCCATTCACGCCTGAACTTGCAGACCTTCTTCTGGCCTTGGATATCGTTGTATGGTCCTCTGTCTTTGTAGTCAGCAGGTATCTCTGCAGTGGTGGGGAGGAGAAGAAAAAACAACTGCATGCAACAGGACCTTGCAAAGCTTCCACTTGCCAGGAGCGGCAGTGTTGAGTTTCACCGTGTCCTTGGCATCTCCCTGTCCCCCGGGGGAGCTTGACCGCGCAGTTCTGCCCCAGCCTCTGCACAGGCTGGTTGCACACGAGCAGGTCCCTAGGGCTCGTTTGCTAACTGGCTCGGGGATTTAGGGGCAGCGTTTATGAGAGGGCTCCTATCACAGACCCTGCAAGCACATTAGGTGACAGTTCTCACTTCACATTGCTACAGGTAACTGATTCATACCACCCACTGCATCAAGAGGAGCCAAAGAGGCTTGAGCAAAGTCATCAGCAGACCACAAGTGAAATCTGGAAGCTCCCTGCCTTGTATGCTCTGTAATAAGCTTCCAGGTACAGCCATGTCCAAATCCAATCCCTGTCCAAACCGATCATTCAATGAGCAGCCTAGGACTGAAAGCAGAGCCTGTCAGCTCCAGTTTACTGACGTGTCACTGGTTATAATAAAAAGATGCAGGACAAGGCAACTAACCCTCAGTTTCGGATGGAGGTGACACAGAGGCAGTGGCCAGGGCCCCCAGCCCTGGGAAACCACCAAGACTTACCCCCGCAGTCCTGAAAGACTATGTTGTCAGTCTGTTGCTCAGCGCTGTAGTCCTCCAAAAACCTCTCAAGGTTCCTCACATATGGGTCATAGCTCTTGGCATCAGCGACGACAAAGGAAATTTCAGTCTTTTGTACCTGGGGAACTTGCGTCAGTCCTAAGGAAAGCAAAGTCAGGAGGATGATAGTAAGTAGACCTCCAAGGTGCTCAGCCTCCAGGAGTGCTTCATGCTCCAAGGACATCAAGCAGTGTGCTCATCTGCATCGTTCAGACTCCAGGATGTACACAGAAGAGCTTCAACTCATTGCAGGTGAGCTGATTTGATCTCCAACAGCAGTCTAGAAACCCTGCCATGCTGTTTGCATCACTACACAGATAAGAATCACAGCACCTGGAAGGGAGGCTATGAGACCAGCTTTTCCTCAAGAAAACCATTCAACTGCAGGTCACCTGCCCAGTCCTGTCTCCTGCCCACGTGAAGAGAGGCCCCATGCATGCCAGCCAAGGTCGCACCGCAAGCTCCCCCGCAGCTACCTTCCCTCTCCCTCGCCATTTGACGTGCACATCTGCGAGCTTCCCTCCATGAGCCCCCAAAACCTCCTGTTCCCACAGGCAATGCCAGAGCTGCCTCCCTCTGCTCTTTTCCCAACTCCTTTGCGCAGTCTGACAGGATGCAGGACAAGAGATGCTTTCCCACCCACTAACCTCAACAGCCTGGTCATTTTCTCTGCTCTCTTCACTCCCTGCACAGGTATTTCTGATTACACAAAGAACATTTTGAGCTCTAACCGGAAGCAGATCATTGAATAAGTAGGCAGGAAATGCAGTCACACAGGGCAGATGTTTAAAACAGTCCTAGATTCTGGGCTGCACAACTAGCTCTACACAAAGAGCTTTATAAAGAGGACTGGAAAAAAACAGACTGCATGGAGAAGAGATTAGATGCATGTTATTCCTATAGATAATGAAAAATGCCAAGCCCTTTGATTGTCACTATGGGACCTAAAAATAGCTGCTCTTGCGTGACGTGTGGGTCACACTTTAATTGAACGCGTTGATGCATGGCTAATACTGAAGTTTAAAGTAATGGGAACTGGAGCTCATGCTGCTTTTGCGGCTGCTGCTGCAATTACCGGGGTCTCAAGCCCTGTTTGGTTTGTCACCTTCACTTTAGCAAGAACAAAAAAAGAAGGAAGTAGGGGAGCAGCACTTGCTTTGGCAGCATTCGGAGGAAGCTCTTGTGTCAGCAAGTTCCTCTACAGCAAAACTCCCACAGCTCAGCTGCCCAAAACCCCCAGGAGCTTGTGACTCCAGCAGTTTTTGCAACGCTGCCACTGCCACCGCTCGAGTGTTTCTACTTAGCCCTGCCTCAAGCCAGCTCACCACTCCCCCCTTCCCACAGGGCTGGAATTTGTAACCCAGGACAAAGATTAGCTTCATGCCCTTAAACACAGCTCCTAGCAGTCAAAGGTAGCAAGACATCAAGCAAGTAGCTTGTGGTTTCATGTTTTATTCTGGGAAGCTGTTTCAACCTTCTCTTAAACCTCCCTTTAGCAAAGACTCGCCCACTTGAGTGCTCTAAGTTTAGAAGCACCTTAGTACTCACCACAAGCAAAACTCAGTCTTGCCCCTAAAGTTACTAAAGCTTTTCAAGCAATTACTTGCTTCACTAATGTTTTTTATATGTACATCTGTCTATACTCATCTATAGATACATTAAAACAATGTAGGGTTCAGTTTAATTGAAGGTCCTTCCGTTCCATCCTGCCAAGTCCTTCTTGGAAAGCTGCAGGCTCATGGCTGAAGTGCCTGTCTGGTGCTGCAGGGCAGGCCACAGGGCTGCTCAGGGATTTGCCCTCCCCTGAGTTCAGGTTACAGGTGCATCATTCCAGTGTGTAAAAACAGGCACAGCCTGGCTTTCCAAAACATTGCAACTTCTGCCACACACTTGCAGTGTTAATTTTGCTCAGAACCACCAAACCTCCAGGCAGCTCCCCTGCCCTGTTCTTTATCTTGTGCAAGACATGGCATCCAGGCAGCTGTGACTGAAGGGAAGGTCACCAAAATAAGTATCATGAACAGACTGTGGAAGCCACCCCATGGGTGATCCCCACTCTGGCTTGGAGAGCCCAGCCATACATGTGTGCAGTTAAAAGCCAGCACTCTCACCCTGCAGGCCTGGCCTCTGCTCAGCTGCTCCCGCAGTTGGTGACCAGCAAGTGGAGCTGCTCCAGGACAGGGATCTGGTGCAGGAGCTACTTTCACCGCAACCCAGGTGCTCACATGAGCCAGACTTGCTAATGTTTTGGTAGATGGGGTGCTTGCTTTGTATGGGACATGAACAGTGTTGCTTGGTCTGCCACTTTTGGAACAGAAACAAGTTAAGCCTTGTGAAGATAAAAGTGTCATCACAAAACTAGTCTTACCCTGATGAAAGAAATGCATCACTAGCTTCTGCTGCACCCTCCACTCTCACACACCTGTGACAGGAGGCCCCAGGCACACATCTATCATTTCTCCCCTTTCCCCTCAAATCTTCTGTCTCTTCTGTGTTTCCCTAAATCAAAGCCTTCAATGCTGTTATTAGAAAAGCCCAATAAAGGAGAACCTTAAATAAGGTTCCACCCTGCACCATCCTGTGAGAGCTTTCTGACTATGGAGGTACCAAGCTAGCATTAAAAAAAAAAAAAAAAACACCTGTGAAACTTATTTGAGATGACAGAGGAGCCAGCAATGTTTCTGAAACACTTCTGTAACCCCAATGAAACCTCATCTCATCCCCCCCATTCCTCTTAGGAAAATTAAAACAAGTAGGTGGGGAAGAAAATCCCTACACTATTTTAAAGCTGAGTCATTCAAGTGCTACTTAGCAGGGACCAGTAGACACAAGGGAGCTTAAGTTTCATTAAGAGAACAGGGCTGAAAAAGCTTCCTGGGGGCTCACGCATGTGCAGATACCACTCATGAGCAAGCTCTAAGGCAGGAGGAAAGGAAATCTTAAATACTTTCACAACCCAGAGTTCAAATAACCCCCTCACCCTCTAGCTGTATGATTTGCTGTAATTCAGCATCTCAGATTATTACCAGAGATCCACTGCAATATCACATATGAGGATACCATTGATCACATGTGAAAGGCTCAAATAAGTTTCTTTACAATAGGTTATCTCTACAACTGCATCAGAGTAGTATTAGATAAAATTACTGTTTTCACTGACACTATTCACATAAGTGATGAACAATGCCCCGAGGCTGTACACACATGCACTACCTCGTGATGGTTTTCTAGCTCTATACGTGTACCAAGCTAGCTTAGAAAACATTTGTGAAAACTCACTGAATTTGAGCTACAGTTTCACTTCCAAAAACAGTCACACATTAGTCAGACTTACTCAGTTTCATTTAATATTAAGTTTTCCAGATAAACATCATCCTAAACTGCAGGGAAAAAAAAATAAGAGTGAAGGGAAAAAGAGTGTCCTGAGTGAAGGGACAGAAACTATAAGCGGGAGGTCAGGCTTATCAGGAAGCATTGCATAAGCCCACAGCAATTACTGTTGCTTCCCTGCTCATTTCCCCATACCATTCAATCCTCTTTTAGTCTAAACACTGCTGGGATGACACAGACCCCACAGGCAGCAGCTACTACCTCCTCACATGCACCCGCTCCACCCCCAAGTGCACTAAGCAGGAGTGGATCAGAGCCTCCATACTGAACTATGGCCTCCCAGGCCTCCAGCCACCTTTCACCCCACTCTGAAGTAGAAAATGCAGAGGGAAGATGCCTGTTTCCTGACACAGTGAGTTTGCATGGCTGGAAGGCAGCAGCATCTCTGGAGCTTGGCCTCGGGCCTCCTTCCACACATGGGTGCCAAGACAAGAGAGCAACACTGCAGGACAGACATCTGCTCTGTGGGACTTCCCTGCCACCCTCCACTTTATCTCCCTGCTGCTCTAAACTATGGGAGCCAAGTAAGGAAAAGGTACCAGAGGGGCCTTTTCCACTGCACTCAGTCCAGCCCAAGCAGTGCAAACCAGCATTTGGGAGGGCAGAGGGCACCATCCACCTCGAGAGCAGTTCCCCTCTGCAGGCACCACTCAAGAAAAGACTGGTGCAGGAGCGAGCTCTCACCCCACACCAGCTGCAGTGCCATCACACTGCGTCGCTTGGGGCAAACGCCACAAGATGGCAGAAATGCTCAGCCCCACTGAGGCCAGCACACCAGTGCTTCCCCTCCCTCCCCCCTCCAAATCATTTATTACAGAGACACAGGAGCTGTGGCAATGGTAAAGGCTGGGAAACAAGGTAAGCTGCACTTCCCTCAGGCCAGGGTAAAGGAAAGGAAAAAAAAATCTCTTATGGAAAAGTACAAAAAAGGCAGCTTGCCCTTGAGCTGCACATAATATTCCTGGTGTGCTGAGAGCAGGAGCTGATTAGCATATTAATGACATCTGGCTCCAGGAATGGCCCTTCATGGCTTTCAATGTTATAGCCATGTCAGGAGCACTCAAAGCACCCTGCAGCTTCTGCTGCTGCTCAAGCCTCCTGTAGTCCAGAGCAAGAATACTGTGGGAACCCTTACAAGATTTTCCTGCAAATCATGTTTCCCTGCCTTGCTGACCTTTCTGCTGGATGCAAGGTGACCCACCCAAGAGGAACAGCACACCACACCCAGAGCAGAAAATAGGTTTTCTAGAAAGCCTGAGGTCCTATCAAGCTGCCAATATACTTAGTTTGTTCAGATCTTGCAGCTTACCATGAGAACAGTAATTATAATTGCCTTGGTGCTCTATTTTAATGCAGCTCAAGGTCTACAGGAGTTCCAGTTAATGGAAAATGAGATCCTTGCTCAGTGCCATAGCTGGCAAGCCTGCACATGCATTCCTGGCTAGGAGGCCTGTCCTGCCTGCAGCACAGGGCAAACCCCCTCTCCACAGAGGGGGAAGCAGGGACTGGCCACCTCCCCCATGCTGTCAGCACAGTGAGTTGTCCCTCCACCATTAACATCACTCTTGATGAAAGCTAACATTAAAAAGGCTGCTTTTAATGCAGCATCATCCATACAGCTGCTGTGTTATGCTGATTTGCCCTCATCTGTAAGAGCAACAATAGTATGAGGTCTTGGAAAAAGCCTGTGCTGTTCCCAGCTATTTCATTTAAACTGTAGGCACACTCAAGTGCCATTGTCGCAGCTTGGTTTAAAACCCTTATCAGGCAGCCCACTGCAATATATTCAAGGAGCTTGATTTTGTTCTGCTGATTTAACTGCATGCCCCAAAAGCTTGCTCACCAGAAAAATCCTTGACAACCTTTTCTTTCATCCATTTTGATTTCAGTAGTACATGAGAACATCTTGAAACTCAGTTCAAGCATTTTTAAATACAAAACTAGTGCAATGTACCATTATAGGATGACCAAGTATCTTCTGCAGGCTTAAGTCTTACAAAATTTTTCTTCATAGTTGCTTTGAAATTAGACTTGTACACAGCTATCACACAAAGCTGCTTACCTACAACAAGTAATTATGTGACATCAGGCTGAACAGCAAGGTCTACCTGGACTGGACCCAAGATCCATGGGCTTCCTTCTCTATTTCATGTCTGGTGAGACCACTAGGCTTCAGTTGGGGGAAAAACTTTTATTTATTTTTAAAAAGCAACTTTACCATTACCTATGCTGGTGATTCAGATGCAGCTAACTGCTTTGGTCAGTGTCAGTGACAATTTAGTTTTTCCTGCAAGTGTCAGAGCAGCCCAGTGTAGCACGGCAACAGCTGCTTTCAGTTCTGAACATAGTATTTATCCCTGCCATGCTTCTGCCTTTAGGAAATGCCACACAGGTACAGCAGTTTCAGTCTGCTCCACATTTAAGAAGTCCTGGTGGAAAAGCACTCATCTGTGACAGGTGATTCTATGCTGAGAAATAGCACTGTCTGGCAGAGGTAAGATGCCCCGTGCTGCGGCAGCAGGGACTGATCACAGCATAGCACTGTCTGCAGTAGAGCTGTAAGACACTGCACAACACCAGAGCCAGTTTCCGTGGCTATAAGCCACCGGCCTCACAATTGTCACTTAAATACCACTGTTATTAAAAGCCTCTGAAGCGTTCTCCAGAGCAACTGGAGGCAGATCATTAGGGTGGTCAGCGCCAAGCAGCCTCAAGGTCACAGCAGTGTGGGAGCGCCGCAGTTGCACAGCTCCCCCATGCGCTGCACAGGCACCCGCAGCGCATGGCCGAGCCCTGTGGGCAGCGACAGGCACCCGGGGCAGTGGCTGCTGCTCCGCTTGCCCCTGCGGAGGGCAGGCAGGCTGGCTGCAGACATGACTCAAGTGATTATTTCATTAAGCAGAGACTTTAACCTAATAAAAACAGGCTGCACATCAGGGCTACCCAAGCCACCCCCAAGCCCTGATTACACATTTGGGCAAAACACTCCCTAGTAAGCGCCGTTTGCTCTAGCTCTCAGAATAGCTCAATGTTAGCCTGTACAGCGCAGTGAGCACCTACTGAATTCATACTGTCCCCTCCCTTCCCTGACCCTCGGGTTTTACATTTATCCTTGTCCTCTCACTTACCCATAGGGAACAGAGGGGCCACAAAGAAAGAAAAAACAATACAACCTGGTAGAGGCCATGCCTAAGTGCAGCCTCTGCACCTTCACAAGGGGAAATGGAGAGCAGCAATGCAGGTTTAAGTTCCTCTTAGTCAGGAGGAAGATTTCATGTGATACAACTTCTAATTCGAGCAGGATTGCCTTTGAGCCCCAGTGCTTGTAACACAGAAGGCTGAGAACATGCCCACCCCCTACAAATGTGTCGCTGCAATGAGATGCTTATTTCATCCTCCTTCTTGAGGTGAGTAACCAAACCGCCTCCCCAGAACAGCTTGCACCAAGTCAAACTGAGGCCTCCTATTTAGTTACCTGGAGGCGCCACTCGATCCTGGTATTTGGGTTCAAAGTCACTGACAGTAAGCAACATCACTTGGATGGTCCCAATGAAGATACCTGCCAGGCAACCGTAGAAGATCACATAGAAGAGGAGGATTTTAACTGCAAGAGAACACAAATGGAAAGATGAAATCAAATGGAGCCCTCAGGGCAGTCACATGTTCCCAGACAAAACTTCAACCTTCACCACTCACAAGGAAGAGCTCAGCACTCTGAAACCGGATAGTGAGCCCCACTGCAGAGGCATGTGGTTAACAGCAAGATGATGCCTATGAAACAGGGCCAGAAAGTCTAAGTCGCACTCCAGTTGTTCTGTGGAGTTCCTCAATATCCAGAAACCTATGAACTGGAGCTGTGAGTATTAAAAGATTCTTCCATACTTTAGAAGAAACCCATCCCTCAGCTGGCCCAGCATCATGGGTGCCTGCCAGGGAAGTGAGTGCCTAGTGCCAGGCAGGCACTGACCTGGCTCTGCTCTGAAGGTCACCTACTCCACACACTGCTGCGCCTCACAGCCATTTCCAGAGGCATCTGCCGTAACTGCCAGAATCAGGTCTACAATAACTGCAAAGTCAAATCTGCTCCAGGTGTCTCTAGTGGGAGTCATAACTGGGTGCCAAATGAGCCCCAATACTTAATCTCAAATGTAGAAAAGTACCTAGATTCATCACACTACCATACAGTTACCAGCACTCATTTACAACAGCACTCCAGCAGTACTCCTTCAAATTAGAAATAGTGGATTATGTAAGAAAAAGATTAAATTTAGTTTTGGTCTGAAGGAGATGCCTAGAATAATCTCAGCTGGGGCGGGAGGAGGCTGGAAACGCAGCACTGCTCAGAATCTGAATATCAGTTACCAGTTTACAAGGATTATCTCAAATGATTAACTGCACAGTAACATGCCGTACTAGGCATCACCAGGCAGCCTACAGGAAGGATAAACCAGCCCATGCCAAGCTAATCTGGAAATGGGAGCAAGCAGACCAGAGTAGAGAACCAAGAATACTTAGAAGATTCTAATTCAACATCCTAACCTAGCTATAAATCTAAAGAGATACACTTCAAGGACTGGAACCAATACAAAGAAGGAGATGAGAGCCCTAGGTAAAAGCAATCCTACCCCCACAAGGGGTCACAAGAATGCTTCATTAGCAGAGATGCTTCCTGATGAAGACATTCAGTTCCGGTTGGTTTTATTTCACATCTATGAAAGAAATATGACCAAGAGGGAAAAAGGAGCAATGCAAAGGCTGGGGGACAGCAACAGGAAGGACACTCCATCCTCTCGTCTTCCTCATGGCCACCAGGGCAGCGGAGTTGCTGGGTCCAGCTCAGTGCCATAACGCGGAGCTCCAGGAGTTAAGCGCACTCTTTGGTATCCAAGCAGCGTAAAGCAAATGGCTGTGACGTCAGAGACGTTCGGGAATTTTTTCCAGAGCACGGTCATAGGAGGTGCTGTTGTAACAAACCAAACACTAGCGCTCTTGTCTGCGGCACTTTGAGTTTTGTAACATCAAAAAGGCAGGCGCTGGGAGGTAGCACATTTAATCGGTCTCCCAGCCAGGATGCTCTTAATGCCGCAGGCACCTCAAGGGCCAGAGGTTCTCCCAGGTTTTCAAACAGGTACAGCTGATGGAGCTAGAGACCAAGCACAACAGGGCTGGAAAAGAAACAGCTTCCTGCAACAGGTCAGCTTGCAGCAAAGCAGCAGGGACCACCAGCCATGGGCAGTGCCATATGCTCAGGTGTGCCCGGGTACAAGGGGCCCTGGCCTCCTCCACACCGCTCAGCTGCCTGGTGCCTCGAAGGAAGGTCACCTACCCATATGTGTTCCCAAGCCAGGGTGCTGCTTACACAGGGACGCAGCAGAGCGTGTCCCAGCGCACCCACTAACATCACAGCAGGGCTCAAACCCTGCTGTGCGGCGGCAGGATGGTCATTCTCACAAGGTGGTCCTTCCAGTATGTTCATGGGAGTTTCGGTCCATTATCAGGTGCTTTGCAAGCATATCAGTTCTTTAGTGAGTTGGATCTTTCTTTGCAAATGTTAGCAAAGCAGGACTCAGGACAATCCTGCCTCCACAGGATTTCCCCCTTCCCTTTGTTGTTAGGGAAAGCACCCAAAGTCTCACCCTCACTTTTCTGATACACTTTTCTGCCATCCCTAATAGGCTTTTCTGCCATCCATCTGGTACATTGTCAGAGCTCTTTAGAGCTCTTGCACTTCAGCAGTTTTGTTGTTAACTTTTTACTCGCCCATCACTGGGAAATCTCATGTGGCAACATGAGTCAAGAAGAAAAAGCTTCTTTCACAATAAATCAGGGAAACATAAAGCACATTCCTGATTGTATTACCTGTGGTTGTTTCCCCAATTTGCCTCTCTGATTCAGCAATGCTTCAGGTCAATACCACAAGCTGCTTTGCTACTGTTAACTTTTGTTTTTGTTAAAACATGGTTCAGATCATTTCTGAGGCTGTCTTCAAAACAGTTCATTCTTCCTGTTAAATTACTTGCCCTATGTTTTAATATTTCATAACTCTGCTGTAGAAACTCCTGCAGTTGGGGTAAATGACAGCACACATCTTTCTGCGATTCCAAAGTGGTGGTTTGACCCAATTTGGTAGCTTTAGCCAACCATTACTCAAAGTTCAGTTTAGGCACTGTAGCATCCCGGGCCATTACAAAGTCCTAAAAAAAAGAAAGATTATAACTCCAAATCAGGTGATTTTGAACACAGACTTGAGACCAAGAATGTGAGAGGGAGGAAGGACTTCTGCTATTTTGTGTGTGTGTGTGTGTGCGTGTGTGGGTGTGTGTGCATGTGTGTGTGCCTGGGGGTGCGGCCGTGCATGCATGTGCATGGGTGTGCACACCTGTGCCTGCATGTGTGCGCGCATGTCCACGCGTGGATATCCGTGTGCATGCACCTGTGCTTGCTTGGGGGTGTGTCTGTGCATGTGTGTGTATTCACTCGTGTGCATGTGTGTGGGTGTGCCTGCATGCGTATGTATATGCACATGTCCACACGTGCATGTCCCCTCACGTGTGTCTCTGTGTGTGTATCTGCCTGTGCATGCCTGGGAGTGTGCCTGTGCATGCATGTGTATGTGTGTTCGAATGTGCGTGTGCACATGGATGGCTGTGCATGCCTGGGAGTGTGCCCCTGCATGCATGCGCATGTGCGTTCACATGCATTCATGCGTGCCTGTGTGGAGGTGCATGCAAGAGTGTATATGTGCACACGCAGGAGCGTGCACACACACACACCACCCGCTGCTCCTCACCGCCCCGCTGCTGCACACAGCATTTCCCCCAGCACCCACTGGCCCTACTGCTCACAGATGCAGGCGGTGGTGGCTCGGGATGTTGCTGGCCGCGGGCACAGGGCTGGGGGGCCAGCAGCGTATGCAGTGGCCCAGTCCCTGCGCTCCTGCGCAGCCTGGCCCTGTGCCGCGGCCCTGCTCCGCCGCACTCCCGCACATGTAATGCGTAACACGTCTGCTGAATATTTAACACCAGCAGCGCTGCCTTCCCAGCGGCCTGAGGTGCGCTCGGCTAGAAACACCTGCCTGGAGGCGGGGGAGAGGCAGGGACTGGTGGTGAGGTGCTGCTGAAGGCAGCTGGGGGCCCAAGGGGCCTGTGTCCCCCCATGCAGCCCCTGAAGTGTTTGACAGGCTCGTGCAGCTCCCCCTGTTTTAGGGGGCAGCAGCACAGGGGGGCAGGTGATGCCTCCTATTACTGTGCGCCCCAGGCGGGGCGAGCTGTGTTGTGCCTTGCATCCAGCCCCCAGCAACTCAGCTCCTGCCTCAGGGCGCAGCCTTCCTGGATATGGCACTGCTACCTGGCAGGAAAACAGGAAAGAAAAAAAGAAAGAAAAAAAAGTATTTTAATGCACCACTGAAATTACTAGCTTAATCTCTTCCCTAATCACATGTCTCTAACGAACCTTGATCCCATGGTATCACTACGGGACAGTTCAAGATACATGTGCATCCTACATGTCTCCCTATCATACCTGGATTTAACTTGGAATCTCCTATTTAGCTCCAGTACCATATTGCACATATTTTCTTGCCTTAAAGCTATTGACATGTCCTCTCAAGTCCCCCTTTTCTTGTGTGTGTGTCTGGGAAGCACAACAAATACATATGGGCTAGTCCTTCCTCGGTATCTCAGAGCAGGTGCCTGTTCTGGAGGCCACTGGAGAATGACCCAGCCTGAATTTCTGGTCTAACTAACCAACCTCAGCGTGCTCTTCTTGGATCTCAAGAGACAGTTGGGCCATCACAACCCTCTCTAAGACATTAAAGTAGCAGTCAGGGAAGAAGCTGTACTGTGGCACTTGTCCCTGGACTGGATACTCTGCGCGGTCGACTCTTTCCAAGTGAGCCACAGTTCCTGCAGCAACCAGCGTGGAGACCTGTTTTTTTTGGGCCATCAGCCTGAGCCTGCTGAGGCCACATAGGCCAGATGCCCTCCAGGCCATTCCAGGTTAATGGCAGTGGCCAAGCTTTACTTCTATAGCTTTAGGCAAGCCTGCAGATTTCTCCAAGCCCTGTAGGCTTATGGATTAGAAAAAGGAAAAGTATCCTGACAGATGTATACAGAGTTTGCATGCCTACAAAGCTGTGTATGTTTGAGTGTCCAGTTGGCTGAATGTTGCAAGAGATGCTATGCATGCCATGTGTGCCAGATGGATTTGTGGACTAGGTTAGGAGACTCAGCTCTCAGTGGTGCTCATATGATGAAAAATGGCCGACCAACGAGAATGAAAGAGGATAAATGGCATCTCTCTTTCCTCCTTAATGTCTGCTCAAGGCTGTTTTTAAAAAGGCCTGTTAAGAAGGTGGTGGCAAAAGCCAACAGGCAGAAGTCCCTGATACCAAACTCCTACATCTACCATGTAGTGAGAGAAGTACCAAGTGCAAGCCAAGAAGGCTGTGATTACAATCAGGCCAATAAATAGAAAAGGAAAGGAAAACCTGCCTATCTCTTAACTTCCACACTTCAGCACAACTCCCTTTGTAGCCAACTAGACAGCTTCTCTCTGCCGTAGGGCAGCAAGGTTCACATGGGCCACTCGGGACTTGAACTGAATCTCCTTCTGGGGTGTCCTGGGATGCCACATACGGCACAGGTACATTGCCCTACAAAGTCCAGCAGCATGGAAATTATGTGCAGGCATGCGGTGTTGTCACTAGAGCATGAAGTCTACCCACTAGACAGCCTGCCAGGTGATACTACATCTGGCATTATCAGCAGCTCATCTAGCCTGCTGAGGAAAAAATCACACGAGTTAGCTCAGGGCACATGTAACAGCAATGGCGAATACTTCCCTCCTTGCCTTCTACCCAAGGAACAGGGTCACCTGAAATAAAACAGGCACTGGGGATTAAGGAAGGGCTTTGTACTTTCACAGCAATGCTGAGCTTGGAGAAGGGACTGAGAGTACACTTACCAACAACCTTAATTCCCAAGAACAGTGACAGGGAGTTTGGAGAAAGTGGCTGGAGAATATCTGTGTCACTGCTTGCCGACCACACAGCAAATAGCCACCCAGGGCCGAGTGCTTCCTCTGAGCATGTTCTCACTCTTGCTGCAAGAGCTAGTGATACCTGCAGATGTTGCATTGCAAGAGCTCCTGACTTCATGATCACCGGAAACTCTCTCCTCTTCCTGCTAGCATCTGTACTTTTACATAAATACACAGAAAGGCCCTGTTAGGTGAGCGGTGTCCAGGGAGACCCAACTTCCCGTAACTGCAGAGCTTGGTCTGCACAGGCTGAGCAGTGAGCAAAGGCACTTCATGAGGGTTGCACCCCATTTCTGCACGCTCTTGCATAAATCCAAAGCCTCAGTTCTAGGCACACTCATAGTACGCACTTTACTTGATGTTGGTGAATTATCAGTAGAACTAATAGGTAAGGAGAGCCAAATTTGATTCAGATTTACTGTTTGTTTGGCTGCTCAGATATCAATCAGGCCGTCTCTCAGGCCACCACTACAGCATCTGATTTTCTACGGTGATAAGGATCTGAGGCAACTTCTAAAGTGCCAAGAACAAAATGTTCAGAGATATGCGTGTCTAGGAGCTTAGCTGTGGGAGGAAGGGGTTGGGGAAAGCGCTGTGCGAGGACCTAGGGAAGAGCAACTTGCAGGATGGCGTTTTGTTAGAACTTATTTTGCTGCCCTTAGGAATTAGTATGTCAAGAGCACTCTGGTAGATTTGAATGGCCATCAAGTGATGACATCCCAGCTGTATTTGGGGGCTCCTTTCTTAGCTGGCTTGGGGAAAGTGCCTTGGGCAGAGAGAGGCATCTCACTGCAGGGCAGAAAATTACTTTCGCTCTTTGGTGAGAGATAAGACCATGGCTTAAGTTGGGCAGGGATAGAGCAGAGTGAGGATTTGGGCAATGTGGGGGTTTCTACCGATGACGGAATTTGTGGGGAGAAATAAGGACAGTGGCACCAGGCTCCTGACGGTCACACGTGGAAACTTGGAGGAGAAGCAGAGAGAGGAGAGGCAGGCTGGCAAGGGGGATTCTCAGGACTTGCAGGAGCTGCTGCTAATTTTAAGACCACAGAAGTGTGCAAAATGGCCTTAAGGAGTTGCTATTCATGGGCTGCCACTGCCGCAAGCGCGTGGGGCCAGGCCTCCTCTGGCTCCTGTGCCCCTGTGTTGGGAAAGGGCAGCTGCTCCCGAGCTTGGCCCCCAGCCTGCGTTGTGCAGGGCGAGACGGAGGGCAACGAAACTGGTAAGCAGAGCCCCAGCAGCCCCGGCACGCACAGCACAGCCTGTCTTCCCTCACAGGCCCAACGCGAGAGGCCTGGTGCTGTGCGGGCCTTCCATACCCCTCTGCGGCTGTCAAGGGGCCTCGGAGAGGAAAGGAGCCACCCTCCAGAACGGCCTTGGAGGAATAAGAAAGAAAAAATAAGAAATATCCCCCCAACACACACACCAAAATCCAGCCAGGGGCCCAGTATTCCTTCCTCTAATATCAATTTGATAGTGGCGTAACATGCTCCCGGTGTGGGTGCTGGTAACAGAGGAGAGATCTGTGCGGCACGAGGCCTTTTGGGGGTTAGTGACAGAAGTGTGTTTAGAAATTTCCAGGAGTTTGTTAAGCCTCTGATACGGTGGTTTAACTGTTGTCCTGCTGCTATGGATCCTGAATGTATAGCTCACTGGCTGCCACTTAATTACGTGTCATTCAATCCTGATTCGGTCTAGCCTATGTGCCCTGCCACAGTCACCCACTTCCCATTCTGCACCAACCCCAGCAGGAGGCCTGTAGGCACCATCATTAGAAAGAGCCCGATTTGAGCTGAGCTTGGGTGCCAGACCCGGCGGGTGGCTCGGGGGACAGATGTATATGCAACAACGTTGTGGTTTGCCTGCTGCGTGATAGCCGCGGTGAGGGCTGCCGGCAGTGGGTACGGAGTTCTTCTGGCCCAGTGAAACCTGCTGGTGTCTCTACACTGTTCTGATGGAGGCAAAGGGCACTTGTTAAGGCAGCAGAAAGTGAAGCATTTCACCATAATTTCCCATTGGGGCTGACGTAGGAAAAACACGACTCCTGATCTCCTCGTTGAAAATAATACGAAAATAACCTCTAGTAAGAAATCTGCCCTGTTTTGTTTGGTGCATCCAGCAGTGATCGCCACCTCATGAGGCAGTTTTTCCGGGGACTAAGCGGGAAGCTTAGTGTCAAGATTTGCAGCGGGCACCTGCGGCCCTAGCAGGCGGCAGCCCCTGTCCTGGCACGCTGTCACCCACGTGGGCAGCAGCGCGTGCCCACAACACAGCCACCAGCTGCACGGCTAAGGGGTGAGATAAGGAGCTTTTCAGCCCGAGGGCACTGGCTCAGCTTCATCCCTGGAGTTTATCGGTTGGTCCACACAAAATGGATTGGTTCCCACTGGATACGGCAGCAACACACTCTGTTAGAGCCGGCTGTGGCTAGTTTTCTCTCTCAGCAGCAAGGCTGGGAGGCTCCATTCTCCGCTTGCTCTGCCCATGGCTCTCCAAGAGCAGATTTTATGGGGGATTAGCTTGCTCACCTGCCCCCGTTACAGCTCTGCTGTCTCCAGGGCCAGCCAGTGTGGGACTCCCAGCACTACGCCATGTTGAAGAACAAGAACCAAGCAAATTCTGTTAACTACTTCTAGGCCTGCTCCAATAGAGTTTTTAAAAAAAAAATCAGAGTGGAAAAACATTTCTATGTTTAGCCATCAGGAACAAGACTTATCTAAGCAGCCCCACAGAGGAGCTGGCAATGGCAGTGGGTAAGTTAGGTCCAACTTGTTCCTAAACATGCTTTAATTGTACGGTCAGGGCCACGGCAGGACTCAAAGTGATTTACTTTCAGAGGCCTTTCTCCTCCTCCTCGCAGGAGGTATTTTCCCTAAAACAGCCCACAGATGCCTATGATAATTTTGAAGTTATTCAGTACTGTCTACGCTGAGGTTCTTACCTCCTGAATGTAAATCACCCTACAAACTGGGAAGCCTTGCTCTCTGCTGAGGGCTTCTTGTTGGTCTTTACCTTGAGCTATGTGGTTCCAGTGATAACCAAAAGCTGCTGGATAGCTCAGCCCTGACCTGAAACAAAACAGTATGATGAATTTAAAAAACAGACATATTTTGACTGGAGAATGTCTATCCAATCCCCCACATCCAGTTATAAAAACAAAACACATCAGGCAGCCAAGATGGGAGCTTTATTCCTTTCCCATAAATTGAGTGCTGTGATGACCATGTTTGAGGGCAGAAATTCTCTTTTCACTGACCATCCCCACATGGACCACAGCATGTCACACAGCACCATTTCCACGTGAGAAAAACCCCAAATGAGTGAGAGGAGCATATAGTCTAAAGGGAGCAGAAACACACTTAGTAGGATTTTTAAAAATGATGAAGCCTTTCTCATTACAATCAGTGGCAGTTATTGCCTAGCCCTCTTGAGTAATTTGAAAATCCAACTGGACCTGAGTTTGTGTTTTTAGCTGTTTGTGTATCTCTGAAAATCTGCCTTTGCTTTGCATGGCACTATCTTTCTGCTCAGATAGCCAAACTACCTTTGACACAGACATTTGTGCATTACCCAAGTCAAAGCTGACCCGTTCTATACAGGCACAGTGGAAGCTGGGCACTTATGTCACTCATATCACTGGATACATCAGATATTTTTCAGAAACTATCAATACTGGCAAAGGGAAGGGAACATCATAAGCAAACCATTCCATCACCTGTCTGATCCAACATATTAAGTTGATTTTTATGTTCAACATACAGGTTTTTGTTTTTTGCTTGTTGTTTTTTCCTGAAATGAACGAGGCAGAAAGATGGGAAGGCAACCCCTTTGCCATCCTCCAAAGCTCTTTCCCCAAACAGACTGCAATGGCCAACACAAGGCAACAACGAACTACCCTTTCTGTTCCCAGACTTTCAAAGGAACATGCTTAGAATATGTTACCCAACAACCTGTAGATGAATGAAGCAGATACCATCCATCGCATCTGTATTCCTGTGTCTCAATTTCCACCATAAACCCACTTAGAGTTGACATGAGAGGGAGGGGCATGCCTGGACACAGGCAGCCCTGCCACTGAATCATCGGTGCATTCCTCTAGTTTCTGCTTTGCATGCGGAAGACAGCCGGGGAATAAATATGCACATGCAAATATGTTCTGCTGCATGTTAAAGCAGTCTCCAGGCAATCAGGATTGAGGACTGAACAGAAATTCCCTTTTTTGCTCACCTTTTATTTTCTTTTGAAGAAGCAGTTGCTACACACAATCTAAGACTAGCCTGATGTCCAAAGCATGTCACAAACGAACACTGAGCACCCAAATGGCCTTGGCTAAGCAGTCCTACAACTGACTGCTTTTGTAAATGCTGAGCATGCAGGACCAGCCAAGGTAAGCACCAAGGCTCACTTTAACCCTGTACGTTTTCTCCACTGACACCAAGAGTTGAGACATAGGCGAAAGAGCCCAGGACCAGGGCAAGTGCAATGTGACCGTGGTGACCTCTCAGCTTCCGTGTGGCGCCAGGATTTCCCAAGCAAGGAGGCATGCTGATGGCTAAGCAATGGGGCGTAGTCACAGACCAAACCTGGTCCTCTTCTGGGGAAGCAGGTCCTGCCCATGTGTGCATCCTCTGTGAGCGGGTCCTGGCGAGCCTGGAGCCACAGGGTCACTTGCATCATTTTGTGATCACTAGATCACCCAGTTGGGCTTGGTGAGCAAAGGCCCTGCTCTGCATTTTATTCAAAATACCCCCTGGTACAAGTCTGGGGAGGTAAGAAAGATGGGCGCCCTGTTAAATCTGATGCCTCTGTAACAGCATCCGACCTGGTGTTACTGAGGAGGGAGTATTTCATGACAAAGATGTATATTCATTCTCTGGGAGGACATATATGAGATGGCAGATGTTTGGGCATTGGGGAGGCTTGGTGCACTTCATTCTTCTGACAAGCAGAGGGACGAATTTCCTGTTATAAGTAGAAAGCAAGAAGTTTTCTCAAAGAGCTTTATATGTCACCGGCCTCTCAGAAAATGACTGTGAGGAGGTCTCGTGTGACTGAATACAGTATGTCTGTTTAATGTAACATTTGCCTCCCTGTAGGACCACTGGGTGTGTATGACTGAGAACAGTTATATTCATACTGACCTCTGAATTAAAAGTCTAAAGCACTGGACACGGTTATTTCAGTTCTTCTAGCTGTACCGCAGGGATCACGTTTCCAAGAACCTGCAGCTGAAGTTGCCATTTCTGCAGCACATTGATGAGAAAATGCTACAGGAAAGCCATCCTAATGAGGCGCTCGCACCAGAGCTGCAAGTCTTTCCTTCCCTCCTCAGCTTCTGAGCACGCAGAATAGGCAGATGCACACACATCATTATGGCCCATGGCTCCCCGGAAGGGGACCTGAAGCATGCAGGAAAACGTGGCTGTGGAAGCAGCATTTTTCCATCTTGGGTTCGGTCTCACACAGGTGATAGATAGCAATGAACTGAGTCTGGCAGCTCCATCTTTCTAAGGTAGAAAGCGCCCCATTTTCCTCTGTCAGAGATGCTGCAGATCTGACCACATGGAGATGTCCCAGAAACCTATTTTGAATGAACTTTTGCCAGTTAAATGAACTTAAAAACATATATTAGTAAATCAGATTAAAGCCCTAAATGGACGTTTTTATTGAAAGATGTGTTTATTCTCTGCAGTTTACATCACCTTCAAAGCAAACTGAAGAACATTTTAATAAGTTCATCATAATATTCGGAGAAGTGTCCACTCAGAGGCTTAGTGCAGTTAATTCACCTATTTGAAATTCATGTTTTTAGTTCACTTGGATAGTTTTCCTTTGCAAACAAGCCTTTCCAAAGACAGGAGAAGAGACTCGCTTAGGATCATCCAAAAGAAGTGTCAGGCACAGTCAGTCTGGAGTCCAGACATACAGAGGGAAGCAGCTCTCCACTCCCCTTCTCCCGCTGCTGAAGTTGGGGACTGTGTCTACCGCTGTCACAACCAGTTTTACACCAGCCCTGAACAGGAGAGGCAAGGCAGGAAGGGTGAGCTAGGGGGTGTCTCGTCTGGCTGCAAGCAGCACTGTGTGGAAATTCATGAAGTGCTGCAAAGTCTGGGCAGCATCTGTGCTTCTCCTCCATTGTAATTTCATTCCTTTACTTCTTCAGTCAGCCTGAGAACTTCCCTTTGACTGAAGCACAAAGGCAGCTATTTGCTGCAGTCAAATTGTTCCATGCATTTTGTTGGATGTGTGTTTTCTATTGAAACTGAGTTTTCTTTTAGCAAATTACCTAACAGACACGCTTCTTTGCGCAAATCCACAGTCACTGCTATTTTGGTGATGCAGCTTTGGTCGGTAGCTGCTTTATAAAAAGAGCATGAAAAGCCCATTTCTCTCCGTGGGATTTAAATTATCAAGCCAACATGAATGCAAATTTGTCATAGCCCCAAACACCTCTCTCAGCTTATCAGGACTACATCTGGGTTCTTGAGGATTCACAGTGGCTCTGCTTGTCTGCCTTGCAAAGTCAGCAACGCAGTCGGAACAGGCACACCAAAGCCTGCAACATTACCGGACAGTCCCAGATCCAAGCACTTCACAGCAGTATCAGGGAGGATCCAATGGGCAGCTTCAAGGCAGGCACCTCAGCCACAAATTTAACCTCTTCTCTTCCCCTACCACAATGGCAATTTGAGGCTAGGTGATGCAGAGAGCTTCAAACAACACATTGGAAAAAAGCATAAACATAAGCAGGACAGAAAAATGCAGAAAAGTGTCTGTATGGTAGATAATTCGCTCATAAATATTTTAGTCTAGATTTAACATGCTGCTCTTGCTCACCATTCTGGCATCATCAGTAATGCCCAGAACTCATATAAGAAACTTTCCAGTGCTGGATCTTAAACATGTTAGTAGAAGAGATAGGGAAAAGTGACTTGATTTTGGTTTGTAGAGAACTGGGAACACCACACAGATAGTTACTGCAAAGTCTGCAAAGTCTGGTGAGCAGCCAGAAACAGAACTCATATTTTCTTGGCCCCTTTCCTGTCCCACACAGTATAACAACATCCTTGGGAGAAAGAATTACTATTACTACTCTTATCAGGGTAGTAAAAAATTCTTTCTAATTCTCCAAACTTTGGAGGTGCCCTTAAGAGAAGCCTAGGCTTTGAACAAGAAACACCTGCAAGATGCAAGTCCAAATCTTAGGCCAGGTTTCAAACACTGAAGAGGCTATAATCGTTCCTAAGGAGAGTCCCAACAGCCTGCTAAGTTACCTCCACCAGAAAAATAAGTCATGGCATCTCATAACATTGATTTTGAAAGACAATTCTGATTTTCCCCCATCTACTTTAGGGGTATCTGACCTTGTTGGTTAGGGATACTGGCAGTATCCCTATCTAGATATTGGCCTATCCAACATCCTCCATTATTGGCATCCCTTGAGCCCAGATCTCTTTTCTCAGGCTGCCAGTCATATATCTAGAAAATTACTAGGCATTAACAAGCTCTGTAGAAACAATGTTGGAGTCATCAAACCATCAGGGATGTATGCCCAGTTCTCTATTACAGCACTCTTACACAAAGCTGAATGAAACATAGGATATTCAACCAAGTCCATGACAAATGCTGTTTGCCTAATTTTCTTATTTGACATAGAAGAGATTTGGAATTATTCTTTTCCAGCAAATGAATAAAATCTCATTAGCTTTTCATAATCTTTAGCACACAGGTTGGGATAAATGAGGCTTTCAGCAATTTTGACTGAAAGTGAAATGACTAAAGGATAAAAATGAGAGTGGGAATGGATATGCCATCCTTTCAGAGAAGTTTCTAGCCTGATTTTTCTAGACTTGATTGCATGAGGCATTTAAAAAGAGCAAAGAAATGACAGAATCAGAAAAGATCTTACCCAGGTACTGGAATGGGCAGTTCAAGTCAGACACTGTGGCGCAGGTTGTCATAGGGTTGATCATCAAGGGTTGATGTCATGTAAATAAGCAACTTTAAAGTGAAGTCTGTATTAAACTGCCACTCGTAGCCTTGTCTAAGTCATTTTAAATTGCTCTGG